TGAGCAAATGGCTGTTGGCTGTGTGAAGTGCTATTGGTGATGTTTGTCACAAATGTCAGGGCAACTCAGTGAACAAAGGAAACCAAGTCCTTGAATTTATTCAGCTCTCCAGAGGAATGAGGACAGTTATTTCCTGACGTCAGGGTGACCATGGAATGAGAGATAGCAACCAAATGAAATACCAAGTCAGCTGTTTTCTGAAGATAATAGTGGTTTATTCATTTTGTTTTACAAAGCACAATATTTACAACTGTAGTCCTGCCAAGATGAACACTTTGGAGGGCTGAGTTTGTGCCCAAGAGCATAGAGCAGGGACTTGCCAATCATCAACTTCAGTATTAGGCATTTAAATGACTCAAGGCAATGTGAGACTTGCTCCCACAGAGGGTTGGGGGGAAGGAGAATGTGGGACACCCTCCCACGGGGAGTGGGGGCGGGGAATGTGGGACCTGCTCCTGTCGGGGCAGGGAATGTGGAACTTGTTCCCACAGGGAGTTGGGGAGGAGACATATGGGACACACTCCCACGGGGCGTTGATGGATGGCAGAGGATGTGGGGCTCACTCCCACGGGGAGTGGGGAGGGAATGTGAGACTGGTTCCCATGGGGAGTTGGTGGTGGTTGAAGGGGGTGTTTGCAATGTGAGACTTGCTCCCTGGAGAGTAGCAGGGAAGAATGTGGGAGCGAGTCCCACAGGGAGAGTTTGAAGTAAATTGAGTCGATATTTTGGGGACAGGGGAACTTCATAAATACATGAGGGAGAGAAGGAGATGCTGATGGAGAGAGAGAGATGATGGTCGGAGGAGGTCAGTGTGGAGCCGGTCCAGGGCAGAGAGGCCGAATGACATTTCCCTGCAGCATAAAATGCAGAACGTTTGTGGGAATTGGTGAGAAGCAGCTGCATTAAATGGATCCCAAACAATAGATAAGGACAATGAGGCCTTTGGCAAGATAATGTTCTGTAACTGAGGGGCCAGGGTTTAAAATGAGCAGCATATTCCACAACTCTGCATGTTACAGCAACCACAGCAAAATCTGCATTTCTTGACTTGACTCATTGGCTTCTGCCGCAGCAACATGGAAGCCTGGAAAAGATGGAGACCAAACAGTCAGAATGTTCCCAAAAGAGTGGCTCCCGCTCCCTTTGACACTACACCAATTGTGCAATGTCATTCACTGGCACAGAGAACCCACAAATCTTCAGCAATTTTCAAAACCGAACAGCTGACAGAGAATTTTGTCTTATTGTTGTTAATGTAGGAAACAAAGCTGCAAATTTGCGCACAGCAAGCTCCCACAAATTGAGAACATCTGGATCATATGTTATTAATCAATACTGACAATCCGACAGCACGGCACTCCCTGAACATTGACCCTCCAACAGTGCAGCACTCCCTCAGTAGCGACCCCTCCGACAGTGCAGCACTCTCTCAGCACTGACCCTCCGACAATGCGGCGCTCCCTCAGCACTGACCTCTGACAGTTTTGGCCCCTTATCAAATTGTGAAGTCAAATGAAATGTTGGTATGTGTTTCAAAACTGAATGGAGTACAAAATAGGGAGGTTTTGCTAAAACTATACACGATTCTCGTCAGACCACAGCTAGAATATTGGAAGCAGTTTTGAATGACTTATCTCACCATAGAGACACTGGCATTGGAGGAAGTCTTGAAAAGATTGATTCGGCTAGTATTGGGGGGACTATTTTGAGGAGAGGTTGAGTTGATTGGTCTTGTACTCATTGGAATAAAGAAGAATGGGAGGTGACCTTATTAAAAATCGAAGATTATTAGCAGA